TTATGAGCAACTATACGCCAGCAAATTTGACAATCTGGAAGTAATGAATGCAATCCTAAAAACGTATAAACTACCAAAACTGAACCAGGAAGAAATAGAAAACATGAACAGACCCATAAGTAGGAAGGAGATTGAATCAGTCATCAAAAATCTTCCAACAAACAAGAGCCCAGGGCCAGACGGCTTTCCAGGGGAATTCTACCAAACATTTAAAGAGGAATTAATAACTACTCTTCTGAAACTGTTCCAAAAAAAAAAAAAAAGAAAGAAATGAAAGGAAAACTTCCAAACTTATCTTACGAGACCAGCATTACCTTGATCTCAAAACCAGACAAAGACCCTACCAAAACAGAGAACTACCAATATTCTTGATGGACATAGATGCAAAAAATCTCACCAAAATACTAGCCAATAGGATCCAATAGTACATTAAAAGGATTATTCACCACGACCAATTGGGATTTATTCCTGGGCTACACTATTTGATCAGCATCTGCAAATCAATCAATGTGATAAAATACATAAATAAAAGAAAGAACAAGAACCACATGATACTCTGAATAGATGCTGAAAAAGCATTTGACAAAGTACAGCATCCTTTCTTGATCAAAACTCTTCAAAGTGGAGGGATAGAGGGTACATACCTCAATATCATCAAAGCCATCTATGAAAAACCCACAGTGTATCATTCTCAATGGGGAAAAATGAGAGCTTTCCCCCCAAGGTCAGGAACACAGCAGGGATGTCCACTATCACCACTGCTATTCAACAGAGTACTAGAAGTCCTAGCCTCAGCAATCAGAAAACAAGAAGAAATAAAAGGTATCTGAATCAGCAAAGAAGTCAAACTCTCACTCTTTGCAGATATGATACTTTATGTGGAAAACTCAAAAGACTCCACTCGAAAACTGCTAGAACTTGTACAGGAATTCAGTAAAGTGTCAGGATATAAAGTCAATGCACAGAAATCAGTTGCATTTCTATACACCAACAACAAGACAAAAGAAAGAGAAATTAAAGAGTCAATCCCATTTACAGTTGTACCCAAAACTGTAAGATACCTAGGAATAAACCTAATCAAAGAGGCAAAGAATCTGTACTCAGAAAATTATAAAGTACTCATGAAAGAAATTGAGGAAGACACAAAGAAATGGAAAAATGTTCCATGCTCATGGACTGAAAGAACAAATATTGTGAAAATGTCTATGCTACTTAAAGCAATCTACACATTTAATGCAATCCCTGTGAAAATACCATCAATTTTCTTTTCAAAGAAATGGAACAAATAATCCTAAAATTTATATGGAACCAGAAAAGAGCCCGAATAGCCAGAGGAATGTTGAAAAAGAAAGCCAAAGCTCGTGGCATCACAGTTCCAGACTTCAAGCTCTATTAGAAACCTGTAATCATCAAAACAGTATGGCACTGGCACAAAAACAGATGCATAGATCAGTGGAACAAAATAGAGAACCCAGAAATAGACCCTCAATTCTATGGTCACCTAATCTTTGACAAAGCAAGACAGAATGTCCAGTGGAAAAGAGACAGTCTCTTCAACAAACGGTGTTGGGAAAATTGGACAGCCATATGCAGAAGAATGAAACTGGACCATTTCTTCACACCACACACAAAAATAGATTCAAAATGGATGAAAGACCTCAATGTGAGACAGGAATCCACCAAAATCATTGAGGAGAACACGGGCAGCAACCTCTTCGACCACAGCTGCAGAAACTTCTTTCTAGAAACATTGCCAAAGGCAAGGGAAGCAACGGCAAAAATGAACTATTGGGACTCCATCAAGATCAAAAGCTTTTGCACAGCAAAGGAAACAGTCAACAAAACCAAAAGAAAACTGACAAATGGGAGAATTTATTCACAAATGACATATCAGATAAAGGGCTACTATCCAAAATCCACAAAGAACTTATAAACTCAACACCCAAAAACCAAATAATCCAATCAAGAAATGGGCAGAGGACATGAACAGACATTTCCGCAAAGAAGACATCCAGATGGCCAACTGACACATGAACGGGTGCTCTATATCACTCCGCATCAGGGAAAATACATATCAAAACCACAATGAGATAACACCTCACACCAGTCAGAATGGCTAAAATGTAACAAGTCAGGAGACAACAGATGTTGGAGAGGATGCAGAGAAAGGGGAACTCTCCTACATTATTGATGGGAATGCAAGCTGGTGCAGCCACTCTGGAAAACAGCATGGAAGTTTCTCAAAAAGTTGAAAATAGAGCTACCCTATGACCCAGCAATCGCATTACTGGGTATTTACCCCAAAGATACAAATGTAGTGATCCAAAGGGGCACATGCACCCCAATGTTTATAGCAGCAATGTCCACAATAGCCAAGCTATGGAAAGAGCCTAGATGTCCATCAATAGATGAATGGCTAAATTAGATGTGGTATATATCTATAATGGAATACTGTGTAGCCATCAAAAGAAATGAAATCTTGCCATTTGCAACAATGTGGATGGAAGTAGAGGGTATTATGCTGAGTGAAATAAGTAAATCAGAAAAAGACATTTGTCATTTGATCTCCCTGATATGAGGAATTTGAGAGGCAGAGTGGGGGACTTGGGGGGTAGGGAAGGAAAACTGGAACAAGATGGGATTGGGAGGGAGACAAACCATAAGAGACTCAATCTCATGAAACAAACTGAGGGTTGCTGCAGGAGGGGGGTAGAGATAGGGTGGCTGGGTTATGGACATTGGGGTGGGTATGTGCTATTGTGAGTGCTATGAAATGTGTAAGCCTGACAATTCACAGACATGTACCCCTGGGGCAAATAATACATTATATGTTAATAAAAATAATAATAATAATAAAAAGAAAGGATGAATACCCAGCTTTTATATCAACATGAATAGGACTAGAGGAGATTATACAGAGTGAAATAAGTCAAGCAGAGAATATCAGTTATCATATGGTTTCACTTTCTCATGGAGCATAAGGTATAACACAGAGGACATTAGGACAAGGAAAGAAAAAGTGATTTGGGGGAAATCGGAGGTAAAGATGAACCATGAGAAACTGTGGACTCTGAGAAACAAACTGAGGGTTTTGGAAGGGAGGGGGTGGGGAGATGGGTGAGCCTGGTGGTGGGTATTAAGGAGGGCATGTAATGCATGGAGCACTGGGTGTGGTGCATAAACAATGAATAATGGAACACTGAAAAAAATAAAATTAAGATTTTTAAAAAATAAATAAACCCTGACCTCAAGCCCACGGTCAGTGTTTCCTAGTGGTATTAACCCATACTCCCTTCCCTCTTTCTCAATGAGTGATTTAAATAGAATGCCAAGTCTTACGTTTAAAAAAATTTTAGTGAACCTAAAAGTTTCAGCTTGTCTTTCAGAGATGTCTAATTCTCAACATCTGGAAATAGTTTTCTAGTATGAGGCTATTCTACTATATCCTATAAAAACAGGGCTTTCACCTTTTCAAATAGAAGATTCTGTTACAGTAAATATGCTTTTTAGTTGCTGCCTGGCATCTGAGACTGTGTATCTGCAGACGAGGATCTAACTTGGTAGAACCCCGAGTAAAATAAGAGTACGTGGGCTCTCGCTTAGGCCCAGAGGTGGCTTCTAGGCTGGAAAAGGCATTGGCCTTTGTGTGTGGTTGTTGTGATAAAGAATTCAGGTCTCTCAGGTCTGATTTTTTGCATATCCTGGAGGAGAGGACTCATCACATAAATATTACTGACTTCAGGTCTGTATAGGAGTCTGTTTTCCAGATAACTGTGAGCAGTAAGCACTGGGTTATAAATTTTGTTGGAAAAGAGGCAGGAAACTAGAGACGACTTGGAAAACACTAGAACATCAGGCAAATTCTTGCTGACCTCTCTTGAGCGATTTCTGAGTGTTCCGTATTTCCTGATGAGATTATGAGTGGACACCCAATTCTGAGTGTCCTGCTTAGTGACCTCCCCTGAGCCCCTATCCACGGAAGTGTGACTGCATGTGCCAAGGGCCCAATGTCGTGGAGCAGAAGGCCCTGTGCAGTGAGTAGCCCTTGCTTTGACAGGAGCAAGATATGTTTGCCATTTCTGGAGTTGGTGTTTGCAGTTTCGCTGAAACTGAGCTCCTTACCTTATTTCAGTTTTTCCCATCTTCCCACAGAGTCAAGCTGTTTTTTGTTTTTTTTTTTTTAGTTTTTATTTATTTATTTGACAGAGAGATAGAGAGCACAAGTAAGCAGAGCAGCAGGCAAAGGGAGAGAGAGAAGCAGGCTCTCTGCTAAGCAGGGAGCCCAATTCCGGGCTCGATCCCAGGACCCTGGAATCAAGGCAGTCGCTTAACCAACTGACCCAGCCAGGCGCCCCATGAGTCAAGCTGTTCTTATCACAACCCATCATAGATTTACATTCAGAGGACCCACTTCAAATCGACAAGTACCCTTAACTAGCATGTTACAGTATGCGCTATAGAACACTCTTTGGTTTTTTCCCCCTTTTCCTTTGAAAAGTGTGTGTGTGTGTGTGTGTGTGTGTGTGTGTGTGTGTGTGTGTGTCTGAATCTGAGCCTGCGTATGTGAGCCGATGATGTCACATGGCGTATACTTCTGTGATACATTTACACTGTATCACATTTACCGTGAAGGAATTTAAAACAGATGTGCATAGGTCCCTGTTCTCTAATCTTTACAGAATGTTTCTCAGTGATTTGCAAAAGATGCAAAAATAGATTTTTTCCTGAAAATCTCCATTTCCAGCTTTCCTTGGGAGCATCTATTCTGGCAACATCAGACCCTCAGTCCTGCCCCCACTATTCCCCGCTATCTGTACCTGACCTACTCTTCTGATTATGTCACCTCTTTGGCCCCTCTGTTTTAATTATGAGTGTTACCGGCAACACTCTGCTCACCTCTAAGCCTTCTGAACCAAGGGAAACCTCTTCCAGAATGTTCCATCATTTTCAGTCTGTGTCTGATGGAGTAGTTCAAGGGACTTCTTAATAATTGCTACCAGGAGACATGCCCAGAGAGGATGGCCTTTGTGGTTGGTGGACACAGATGACACAGGAAACATCAGACAACCAGACAGGCCTCTATGCAACCACAGTGCCATACTCATGCTCCTAGTGAAGAAACTCCCCCAGAAAAGAACATCTCCCCCATCCTTTGTTTCCCTCCTATGAATTGTAAGTAGATCCTCTGCAGGCTTTGCCATTTCCTGGCCTAGCTGTTTTCTCCACACTGTGGCTGTCACAATTCCCTGCATATTGGGTGATTACTTGGGTCAGGATGATTACTGGTAATGAAAGAGCTAACATTTTGCATTAGCTTTGATCCATCAGTGCAGGAAAGTATGAAGTAGAAAGTAAACACGCTCCATAATCTCTCCCCCCACCAAGAAAAGCAGGATTCAGAGTGTTTTCTCCTGTTGGATGAACAGCACACCTAGAGACGGATAAACATCACACATGAGAAAACACACACAGAAAGATAATCCAGTGCCTGGCACGTACAGGGTCCCATACATTTTTGTTGAGAGACCATATATACACACTGAATGAATACATAGGTTGTAGTTCAGTGTGTATCTGTTGAATGAATGAATCTGTATTTCTCAACATCAGTAAATTCAGGTGTCCTTTTAATAAAGTGAATCATTTATATGTCCTGCTTTGTAGCTAGCTCGCTCTTTTTGCATCCTAGCGACCCGTGACTATCTTTGTGTCGTCATATCTAGGTCTACCTCCTCATTTCCTATGGCTTTCTAGTTCTCCTTGGCATGGAAATTCCATGACCCTTAATGTATTCAGTACTGATTGTCCTTTAGATAGCTGCATGTTTTATGGTGTCCTCTTAAGCAGTGTTATAGAAAGCATAGGTACACGTACGTATTTGCAGGAATTGCTGTCTCAAGGTATTGTCCCTTGTGAATTCTAATAGGTACTGCCAAACTGTTCTTCGAGACCCTCTTTACTGATTTGTATTTTCATGAGAGTAGATGAGGGTTCCCTTTCCACACACCCTAACGCTGGCTGTTATCATTTAAAAAATTTTGCCAAACTGTCAAACCTATTAATTTAACAGGTTTTAAAGAACTTTGTGCTAATGAGATGGAGTATCCTTCCTTCCTTTTACTGGCCTGCTGGATTTCTTTGTAAATGTCCATTGGAAATGTTGCAGTTTCATTTTCTTTTCAATTGCTGGGAATCCTTTAGAACATAAAGATACAGTCTTTGATCAAAGTCCCTCATCAGCCTTTTTGGGGAAGATTTTTTTTCTTCGTGTTTTCTTGCTTGCTTTTGAACTGTGTGTTTGTATCTTATTTAGGTACATTTTCTGGTCCTGCACCTTAGAGTTTCCGATTTTGCCATCATAGTGTCTGGAGCTCATGACCAAGAAAGAATTCTTGAGCTGTCTCTGGTGCTGCAAAAAGGTGATTTTATTAAAAACTGGGGACAGGTCCTATAGGCAAAAAGAGCTGCCATGTGGTCATGAGGAGTGACCTATTCTCTACTTTCAAGTTTGAGGGGGTTGGAGATAGTGTAAGTCTCCAAGCTATTCTGGTAGGAAGGTTTCCAGGACCATGAGGGGCTAGCTGTTGTTGGCAAAGGGTCATTGATTACAGTCTAATAAAGCCTTAGTCATGAGACCCTTCCGTCCTAGATCAGTGGGCCATATACTTGAGGGATGATTGCCAACATGTATCTTGGGGGCTAGAGATAAAGGAAATTTCCAAAATAAGTTTTATATTTTAAAGTAGGCTTCCAGGATCCTGGGAAGGGGATTTGGGCTAGGATTGCCTTTGCCCTTCGCAGGGTGTCAACACAGAGACAGTTGAGTCCCTAGAGGAATGCCCCTTGCCTGTTTCAAGTTGTCAATGGGCTGCAGGAAGTAAGGACATTTCATAATTGCTCTTCAGCCTTTGTTTCCACATCACATTTCACCTCAGTGAGGAAAAATACCGATGCATGGAAAGCACAGGAAGCGGGAGTTTGTGTGGTGTGATACCACTTCAGGGGAATGTCGAGGGCCAGGTGTGTTTTCTGTGGGCAGGCACAAGGGCAGGCCCGTGGGAGCACGCACTCGGGGCACATCTGGGATAGCCACCGAGGCAGGGGTAGAAGGGGAAGAGGCCCAGCTGGGGTGTGGGAAGTTGTGGGCATGAGCTGCTGGGACCAGGACCAGTGGTCACAGCCACTCTACTGAAGGGCCCTGGTCTCAGCCTTTCCTAGCCACCTGGCCTGCAGCGGCTGGGCACCAGGTGAGTGTTGCCTACAATTGCCTATTGTCTTTTGATTCTAGGCCTCCCTCGGTCAGGAGTCCTGTGACACTTGGCAGGGTGATCTGACTGCACTGGACGCTTTTCCACAGCGGACCAGGTTAGTTTTATGACCTGCAGGGATGTTCTCCTGGGTTGGTGGCGGGGACTCTGGCCTAGGCCATTCCCTGGGCGGAGTGGATGGCAGTGAGACTTCCTTCACGGGCCACACCTTCAGTTTCTCCAGAGATGTGCTGGACTTTGCTGATGTCATCTGGGTACAGCAAAAATCAACAGCCCCTCCAAATGTGATGCTAACACTGAAGGCAGAAGTGACACAGTGGAAGAACTTGTCCCAGTCTTCATCGCAGGGACTGAAGAGCTCAGACTCAGCTGCAGTCTGGAAACTGAAGGACACCGTCAGGGACAGAACAGCATCGGGTGAGGGAGAGGGATGACCACATCAGCTTGGAGGGGCAGTATTACAGAATATCCCTCAGGAGCTTCCCCAGGAAAAGCGTTTGGATGTTGGGAGCATAACCATCACACCCTCCATAGTTCAGTAGTCTCCTCGACCTCTGCTGGCATCGAGCAATAAAAAACACAGTCAAAGGTCAGGGCCAGAGACCCCATTGACTCTATCGAGTTTTCATTTCCTCATACTTGGGCTCACCCCGCCAGGGTGATCTGGTAAGAACTAGATTTACCCTTGAGTTGACAATGTTTATGGAGTTTCTACCCAACGCTAGGCACCACAGCAGGTGCTGGAGAAAGGCGACAAGGGCTCTCTCGAGGCCTTTCGTTTACTGGAGAACAAGAACAAGTAAATAGGCCACTGCATCATAGAAAAGCAGGTGCTGTGTGGACTTATGAAAATTCCCCAGATTGGGGCCCTCCAGTCTCTGTTGGAGCATCAGTAGCATCAGCGAAGGCCTTTTAGAGGCAGAGACTTTTGCCTGGAGAGCTGAAGAATGAGTAGGCAGCAGCTACAGGGCTGGTGTGGTGAAAGGAGCCCTGGAGAATTCCAGGGAGGGGTGAACAGGTAGGAACCCTCGGCCTACTCTGGAATCTAAAAGCAGGGCATCTATGGCCGAAATGGAAGTGTGAAGAGAGAAGCTGTTGCAGAGGAAGCTGGGGCCAAGGAGAGCCTGACCGGCTTGGGAGCTTGAAAGGGCTCAGAACGGGGGCGCCTGGATAGCTCAATCAGTTCATCGTCTGTCTCCGGCTCAGGTCATGATCCCAGGGTCCTGGGAGAGGGGCCCCAGGTCACTGTGCCTGCTCGGTGGGAAGACGGCATCCTCCTCTCCCACTGCTTGTGTTCTCGCTCTGTCAAGTAAATAAAGAGAATAAAAGCCTCAGAACTTTGTGCCAAAAGAGCAAACACCCCTTTCCTGATACGGTGTATAAACAGGCCAGAACAACAATGTGACAAATCTGTCTTGACCCTCACCGAATATTGATTTCACAAAACATGTTACTAAGACTCCCAAGGAATTATCTTAGAATTCATTTACATATTCTCCATTGAAACATTAGCCCCCACACATGATGAGGGAGCAGAAGGCTAGTTGAGGACAAGGCCGAAGCTGACATCCTGCACTCCCCCTCCCCCATGCCTCAGTGGGACCTGTGTGACCTTCCTCCAGGAAACTTATAACCATCTTCATGTTCATTCCTTGCTACAAAGTAAAACCACATCACTTGACAATGGCAAGGTCTCCAGTATCTTGTAGGTCCTCTCTAGCATAGGGAAGTGCTTTTGAAACTGTTCCCTTTCCTTACCTCCCCCACCTTCCAAGTGTGTATCGGGTGAGGGAGAGGGATGACCACATCAGCTTGGAGGGACAAGCTGATGGACAGGGACAGCTGATGGACAGGGAGGGACAACCCTGATGCAGCTCTTTCTGCCCACAGATCCTGTCCCTGTGCTTTAATAAAACCACCATTTTGCACCAAAGAGGTCTCAAGAATTCTCTCTCGTCATCAGCTCTGGACCTCACCCCACCATCACCTACTTCCAAAACTCTATCACTGCTCCCCTGTCTAGCTGCCGCTTGGCATTACTTCTGTCATTTCCTACAAATAACAGAAAAGTAGGCACCGCTAGGCTTTAGGGGACAGGCATCAACGCTGGAAACAGGATCAATGCACACTAAGATCATAGGGTGGGTTTGCAACCAAATTAAAGAACAAAACAAAGCAACTAAGCAAAAAGTTCTGGGGGAGGGACCCCAAACCCTCAAAAGCAAAAAAAAATTAGAAAACGGGAGGGGAAGAAAAAGCGTTTTGGTACACACACACCAGAAGTACTGTCACACGCTTTGGCCAAACCACACTACTCCCCCTTTGACCCAGGTGTTGGAGGGGGGAAAAAAAAAAGCAAAAGCTGTGGAAAACTCACACTTTGGTATCTCATTCAGAATAAACAGTCAGTAGGCCCAGTACAGCCAACAGCCCTAAAACACCTTGAAAGCTGTGCCCCGATAACTGGGCACATGACCATCACCTCCAGGAGCTCTCAAAACCACCAGTCGTTCCTGTTCCAATAGCCAGAGATGGTCTACAAACCCTGGTGTCTGCTGTCATTTTGTAATGGATAATGTTTCCTGTCAGGCATTAAAGCAGAAACCAAAGACACCTGGAGAAGGATCTGCTTCCAAACCCAGAGGGAGAAAGGCTTTTCAAAAAGCTCTTAAAAAATAAAATGAAAGTCAGCTAAGACATTTCCACCATTCTTTCTCCCAGTTGCCAATTTCGCCATGTCAAGAACTTGGGCAGTTCGGTCCACAGGGGCCCCGGTTTGGAGGCAGCAGAACCTCTACAGTCCCTCCATGGATGCCAGAAACTCCCGAGACAGATCGGGTGTGCTCTGATCACCCCTTAATTATTTCCTGCCCTCAGGCACGTGGAGGCAGAGAGTCTGCAGAGGCGGGGCGCCCCCTGAAAGGCAGAGAACACCGCCCCCAGAGGCCAGTGACCACCAGGCCTCCAGCACATCTGTGACCCGAGTTTTTGCCCAGGGCAAACCCTGGGGGAAGGCAGGGGAAGGCTTAGGTGCAGTCCCCACAGGGCAATGCTGGGCGGAGCCAGGATAGAGGTAGGCGCGGACCCACCAAGCGGCTCCTCCAAGACTCAGTCTGTGGCATGCTGCAGTCCCGGCCTGGGACCCCCTGTGCCTGGTGCCTGGTGGTGC